GAAGTAGTTCTGGTGCTTTTCCTAACTCATATTAAAAAAGCAAGAGTAAACATGATAGCATACAAAAAAATATACAATTAACCTGTCAAAATCATTCTATCATAGCAAAGAACTACAAGATTCCAGACAGAATTAGAAATTTTGGAATGGAATACTTCCAGTGACAATGGATAGAGGATGAAAAATTTGGCTATATGAAAGGTTATTTATCAAAGTAGCTGAAAAGAGCAAGAAATGTGTTTCCTAAATGAACAGTGTAACAAGGTGCAGTCTTTCCTTCCAATAACAGATGGAACAGACACTGGTTAGTCTGTTTATATGCACATTTAAAATAGGGGTGCTCTTTAGTTAGCCTTGAACATAAACTAATGCATAATATCCCACACAAATATCTTTAATACTGTGTCTCAGTGTGGCTCGGTTTTCTTTGTTTGTTTTGGTTTTGTTTGTGTGGCTTTTGTTTCTTTTTTCTTTTTTAAAGAACAACCTTCAGCAATACAAATATGTATGGGGAAAACTTCTCAAACATAATAGACTCATCTCTCAATCACCTGGACCAGCATCATTCCTGTGTCTCATCTGGTGCCCTGTGAGTTTCAAAAATTCTGTACAGGTAAGGTAAGCAACAGGAACACATGAATAACTGATTTCCAATTTTCTAGACAAAGAGAAAAAAACAATTGGGGGGATTTAAAAATAACGCATTTAAAAAAAAAACCCTCTCAATTTTTTTGATTTTAAAACAATCAATTTCCAAGAAAAAGCATCATTTTGAAATGAAAAATTGAGATGTCTTGTTTGGAAAACATCAATACTAAACATCACGATGCTTTCAATGTTATGTTCTTTTTTCAGCAATGATCCATACATAATTTCTTTAAGAAAGGCTGGGCATTCCATCTACACTGACTGACTAAATAATACTTTTACCAGTATCATGTAAATGAATCTCTTTCTGTATCTCTCTAGGACCACTTCAGTCTTTTCATACACAGCAAAAAATACTTCACAAGTAACCTGTGGATCCCCAAGTCATTCCTTCTTTGCAAGAAGATGACCTAACTGGGATGGCATGAAGTATCTGTTTCACCGATCTTGCATTTGACCACTAAGAAATTATTTATTAAATTGTAACCATTTGTGCCGGTATTGCATGGTCATTTCTGGAGATGAAGGAATCACTCACATGGCAACTGTATCTGCAGATCTGTCAGTGGGGGATTTTTAACCCATCTATGTGTCCCCTTACCTTCAGAAAATGCAAGTTGTTGATTCCAGAGGTGTGTTGTATGTTTTTTCTTTTCCTTTCTAAATCAAAATGACATATGGTTTGAAGTCAGAGAGGGAAACCAAGCAGACTGAATGATACTTTCCCTTCAGTGGTGGCTGTACAGTAGGTATTCTGTTACAGAAGATACAGCTGGGAATAGGCGTAGGAGCTAATTGCTGTTTTGTGCATCTGTGCAACAGTATCGGTAAGATCATGGCAGTATCTCAGAGAAACCTGTGCGCAGCCCACTGGACTTGCTGTGATAAGCAAAACTGATAGCAGTGCAGTCCCACATCACATGCTAATTTACAGATTTTTACTAGGGTACAGAAAAAATATGGCTGTTGGACAAATTAGTTGTTAAGGAATTATGACTCCAAAGACTGCTTTGCATTTTCTCCACCAGTAAGAAATAATATCCTACAACATTAACAGAGCCAGAAAGCGCGACCTCTTTCCAGGAAATCAAGTCACAGAGAAAATGAAACACCTGTGAGAAAACTGGAAATTATACTTAAATTTATAGACTCCCAGACTGCTGCCTTAATTGCAGGCCATACTACCTGTGACATCTTACATTGGTATACCTGCATGATGAGCTTATTTCTTTCTGTAATGTCATTAGCAGTGGAGTAAAATATACACACACACACACACATCTCTCCAGTAAGAGTACATTGCTTCTGCATTCAGAACAGCGTAACAATCTGCAAGGGCACTAAAAAAAGACAATCTGATGTCCAAGTCTAGATGTAATCTTACGCACATTTGAAGAGGCATGCTTGGACTTTGCTATGTGAAAGAGCTTCAGATATGCTTCTATTCTTAACGCAGAAGGCGCATATTTTCCAAAAGTAAGCACCTCATCCCAAGAAATACCCACCAGGAATACATATCACAGGTCTTTAGATTACCAGTGTAGCTACTAGTTAATGTGTCTTCTGCTGTAAAACTGATATCCTACAGAGTGGGACTCTAAGCTATCAAAGAACATTAAATAAAAACTGTGTGGCACAGGCGGACACCAGACAGCTTCAGACCCTCACTGATGGAACAGTGACAGTAAGCAGCAACTATGGTGTGATTGCATCTGTACCATCCTTTGTTTTCTCAGGTGGGAAGCCCACAACAGTGTTTTCCACTCAAAAGGACCTCAGCAAATAATAGCAGCTGAAGGAAACTGACCTTGGAAGGATCTATACCATGAGCAAATTCCATATAAATGAGAAGCTGAAAAAGCAGTACCAGTTATTGAAGCCTCTGTCTCTGCAAGAGTCTTTGAATGTTATGTTTTGGCTACATGTAAAGCCTTGCCACTCCATTATTCACTTCAGTCCTTCTCAAGTACCATCATCAGGCTAACAGAATGTGAACTAATGGTAGAAACACCATAAACATACATTTGAACCTCGGGTCATCCAACAAAGCCCCACAAAACCAAAAGTAACATAAGCTAACTTTGGCATTTATACGCAAGATCATTTGTAATTTTAAAGCCAAAAAAAAAAAGAGCTAGAACACCTGAAATAAATAGAAATAGTACCATTTTTCTGCGCGTCCTGCAAATGGCTTTTCTCTTTAGCTTTAAAAAAAATAATGCATGATTTCCATTGAGGAGAGACCACTCAAATTCAGGAACATTGGTTTTAATTTGTTGGAAAAAAGGGGATCAAAATATTTGGCCTTGAAATAGAAGAACTAGCCATGGAGAAACTAGCACCTCTCCAAAATTATATTTATGAAATTCACATTCCCAGTGCTCAGGAAATTGTAAGCTTTACAGATAAACAGCTAAACTGAATTAAAAAAAGACTTCACTCCTTTCTTCTTTTCTGTGTAACAAGCATTGACTGCCTTTCCTGAAATGTCCTGAGAAGCCCTTTTACTGGTGTTATTTCATGCCTTTAGATTGATTTTTAATTAAAAGTTGGTTTCAGCTATATTTTGTTATGTTTTTAGGGACAGAAACTATATAGTATGTCCCAAAGAGTGCATTGAGATACTTTAGCTTTGCATTTGTATTACTATATTGTGATTTTCAAAGAAAAAAAAATAATTAGAAGTTAATCTAATGAATAATAATGAGATAGAAATAAAAAAGATTTCTTAAATGGTCACATTCAGCAAACACTATCACAAGGAAGCCAATAAAACCATAAGTAAGTCAGAATATTTTAAGTATTATTATTATTACTACCAAGAAGAGAAGTTTACTGGAAAAAAGATTCTCATACTAGGGCACTCTACTACAGTTACAATGTTCCCAGTAGGACTGGGAATTACAAAGCTACATAACATGTTTTGATAATTTCTTAGCCAACTCCATGCAGTAGCTTGCAGTACATTGGCAATGCTATAGCTATCCATCAGATAATCGTAAGTATTATTGTTTATTTTCCAAAAAAATATGGGGTCCACATTATGTATTCAGGAATCAAAAGTACATTGCCAAAGCATCAGTGCATATCCCTCACAAAGGTCCATTCTAATCAGATAACATGTGATATTCCCTACACATGTGCATGTTTCTAAATACTTGCTGCTTCTATTTTGTACCTACTCTCTTAGATAGTTGTCATTTTACACTTAGCAATTTGGAACACAATTAACATTGATCTGACAACTCCTAAGATGCCTAGAATAACTGCACCCCCTCCCCACCTTTTTTCCTCCTAAGCACAGGTGTGAAGGAAGGATAATTTTTTTTAGTTAGTGATCAAAAAGATTCAAAAGAGAAAGGGAAAAATGGTTTACAAAATTAATGTACACTTGAAACATTTTACTTGTTCAGGCCCCTGCAAAATTAAGTACTTACCAAGTCTTATGAATCTGTCAATTGGATTCAGTTATAGACGTATTTTGGCAGAGGTGTTGGCTGTCCTCTGACAGTGGGATCAAGATAGCATAATTTATTTTATAATAGTAGATTGCCCTTTGTAAAATAATGACTTTCAGACACTGATTAAGGTGCAATTCAACTGCTGTTTCCCTTCCTTCCTTTTAATTTAATTCATCTTATGTTGAATAGGTGTAAATTATAAAAGAAAGATTCAAATCTGAACATGCTCTGATGACATAATGAGGAACACAAACCTTTCTTTGCACATATGGCATACAGCACATGAAGGTACATTAAAATGACATTACTCACTGTAACAAAGTGTCCTTCAGTGTATCTACAAATACAATTTGCTCTCATTTTCAAATAATTTTAGACTGTCAGAATGAAGTGAAGCAGCTTTAGCAAGACTAAAGGATTGGACTTCGACAACGTTAAAAGGGTCAGCGTTTGTTTCTCACATAACCTTGGATGTTCTTGGCAGTTATAGATACTGGACTCAGGTTTTATCCACTGATTGAAGGACCACCCAACTTCAGTTGTAACATATGTCCCTTTGGAAAAGAACACTTTTGCTTATATTTGGTCACAGTATAACAACTGATTTCAACATCAAAAATATTTTGTTAATAATATTTTTGCCCATTTCCTTGTACAATCATTGTATAGCTATTCACATAAAACACATTATTTTTATTTTCACTTGGCTATTTTCAGAGATAAGGTATTTGTGCTTGGTCTGACCCCTCAGCTCAGAACATTATGTCCTTGTGACATGCTGCAATCAAAAAAAGCCTGTTAGGAATGCTTTTTAGCTAACATAAAAGAAAAAATAACCATATGGAGAAAGAATGAATAAACCACTTAAATTTGCTCTGAACTTATGTATACCTGAACGCATAGCATCTTTTTGAATGCTTTCATAATCATGCCAGTCCTTCCTTTTCAAGCCATCAGTCCAGGTAAAGAGCTGTCCGTCTCCCAGCCCCAGTGGAAGTGTCTGTGAAAACAGTAAACAAAAAAAATAAATATATACATACATATATGGTTTGCATTATTACAGAAGAACAGTTATATGGCACAAGCAAATAAAACATTCAGTTTATCCAGTGCAAATATTTAAACTTTACTGTGGTAAATGAAGCTATTTTTCTAAATAGTGTGAGAAAAAAACATTAATTTAGTTCTTGACAAACAATTAAGGGAAGTATGTCAAACAACTTGTGTTTAAAATTTCTCTTTCCAGCAGTGTCCTGCTATGACTGCTTGGCAAGAAGCTCATGAAGTAAATGGACCACTAAAACTGAACAGGTTCCAAAAATGCCTCATCCTCTAACTCATGAAGTACCTTGATGTCTTCCTTAAACTGTCACTTGTGCAAAACTGGAGTTATAGTTACTCAGCACCTTTCAAAGTCCCCCTTTAATTTTGGGTTGTGGGGGGTTTTTTGTTGTTGTTTGTTTGTTTGTTTAAATAGCTAATGATGAGTTACATAACACATAAGGCCAGGCTCACTGCATCAGAGGCACAGAGCAAAGAGACCCTCAAAGCACTTTTAAATCCTGTAGATCTTTTTTCATGGTAAGAGATAATGGGAAAAAACCAAACCCACCAACCTCCCCCCAAAATAACCAGCAAAAATCCCCCATGCAACACGCAGTTGGTAAGTTCACTTCTCCTTTCCAGACTCCAAATTCTTGAGTAAATCGAAGAACTGCTTTTTGCTTCTAAGCAAATTTATCTTTCTAGAGCTTTTCTTTTTTCTCATTCTTTCTGCCAAATGCTGGTAATTTATAAAAAATAAAATAGTAAAGTACCATTAGAAGCACATTATAAGTACACAAAATTTAGATCCGTAGGAAGTAGTACAAAGTTGCAGAAGGTTTCAAATGAAGTCAGCCTTTTTTTAAATGGTTAATTTACAAAATATGAGGTAAAAGAAGCAGAGAAAATTTTGACAAGCAACGAAGATGATCTACTGTATCTGTGCTGAAGAAAGTGAAGAAGCAATTCATTGCTGCTTAGGAGTAACATGAAAACTCTAGTTCTGTTAATTCTAGGCTTGAACCAGTAAGTTGTCCAGAACAAAGCGCATACGTATAATGCATGTTACAAATGTTGTTATCAAAGGGTAGGTGAAAACACACTTGAAAAGCAGTTCCAGGGAAGCAACATTTGATCAGCCTTCTACTAGGAAATATTGAAAGCTCTACAAAAATCTTACGCATATGTAAGAGCGATGCTCTGAACTTCATGTATGAAGTATGTAAACCCAATGAACATTGGACTCACCCATCTTCTCTTACTGATTTTACACTACTGGCAGCACAATACTGGATGATACTCAGTGGCTCCACGTGAAGTTGTCCCAGCCTTTTCAGTTAGGGTTTCTCTTTTTAGGACAGACAAATATTTGCCAAGCTACACGGTGTGGATCTAGTAGCTAAGCCATCCTTAAAACTGGGGTTTGACGGCTTTCAGAGTTGTAAGCAAGAAGTGAGGAATGCCAGGCATGGCTGGTTACCCTCAAGCAAAGGATGCCAGAAATCCTGGCTGACAAAGATCCATGCAGAAAACCTCTGCTTTGGGCCAGCTGATATTTCTGAGAATGTTGGATATTCAGGGCAAAGTGTTGTGAGCTCAGTGCTCTCCAATAAATACCTGAGTTACTGAGAAAAATCCATCACATTCTGCTACTATGACCTACTTTTTTTAGTTTTAATATTAAAGGCAACTTATGTTACATATCACCAAAATGCAATCCAGCCTGTGTTTATTCCTCTATTACAACTTTTGCAGATATATTCCAAGAAAACAGTCTGTCATCATGTTTTAATATAATAAAAGTCAGAGGTTCACACCTGGAAGAACTGAAGAATTGAAGATACCCTGATAAGACTATTTCATGTTATCAAAATATCTAACCTTTCATGTCCTTGAAATGAACACATTAATTTCAATAATTACGGAGTTCAAATAATGCTAATGTTCTAATAGTAATATGAAATAGCTTGTTTCTTAAAATCAGAAGCGTAAGGTAGAACACAGGCTGCAACAAAGTTAACCAGGACTCTTGAGCCCAAATTCCTAAAATCATCCACTCCAAAGCACTAATTGGCTCTATAAAGTCAGGCCCAGACAGACTGGCTTCAATTAAGCTTCTATCCCTTGTTGATATGGGAACAGCTAGTGTAAACCACTTGGTCCCAAAAATTCAAGACTATCAAAACTATCAAAACCAGGATAAACTTTATTTTTGTGACCCTATATTCCTATGCTGTCTTATTTCCCTAAAAATAGTTATTTAAAAGGCAAGTTTGCAGCACACTGAAAGAAAGCCAAGTAGCAGTTTGCAGCTGGTTTCCTGTTGCCTATTTGCATTTTGATGCCATTACTCTAGAAAATATTAATTACTTGTAGGTACTTTACCTGATAACATTTACAAGTCTAATGTACCAGGGGGCCCTCTTGCAAGCATAATATAGTTAAATAAATACATTCGCTAAAATTAATCTAGCAAAAGGATAAATATAAATCCAAATACCGTGTGATACACACAAAACTAAATGACGTCTTGCTGTGGCTCATATTTGGAAGGGTTACATTGCCCTAAGAGGAAATGGGAAACAAACAAATCCAAAAACATTGTCTTGATGCCATCGTAAGTCCCTGTTTAATGACTGAGGGTTTTGTTTGGATTGTTGGGTTGTTTTTTTTTAAAAATAAATCCCTTAACTGTCTCCCATCAAAATACATACTGTTAAGAGAAATCAATACCATGGTGATTTTTTAGCTCTAATATTCTTTCAGTGTAGTGGGGAATTAAATACAGTGCCCTTGCAAGTAGCTTCCTAAGAGTGGTATTCAGACAGCATAATCTCAATGAGGAGTGAACATTGTGGCCATGAGAGGGACTAGACTTCATGAAATTCACCCTGTGTACACACTAGTTTTACTTCTGCAGTGAGCATGAAACAGGGCTTAGGAAGGGATGTAGAGTTTCACAGCCAAACTCTAAGGAAAGCAAGAGTTTTGCAGTGAAAACTCTACAGCTCTGAAGAAATCAAAACTGCCTTCAGTCCCTCAACTGAAAGAACTTTTGTTTTCTTTTTTGATGTTACTATATTGCTTAGCAAGATACAAAAGCACTTGAGAAAAATGGTTCCTCCATTTCATTTCTGCCTAAGGGTAAACAAATTGCATTTTGAAGACCTTAAAACACAGTTTCTGGAATGTTTTAAACCTGCTAAAAGGCTCCATTGTAAAACTCTGTCTAAGTATACTCACATGCCTCCTTCTTCCAGATGACAACTGGAAGAGCCCCCATTTCTAAAACATCTCTAGCTGGCAAGTAAGCAAAGGAAGGATAAGGAAAAAAAAAAGGGGGGAAAAATAATTTAATAGTCTTATTCTAGCCTTGCCTTCTCCCTACATACTCTCTACTTTTTTTTCTCAGTTCTCCAACTTTTTGGATACATTGTTAATTTACACCATTTTGCATCAAACTAGAACAAACTCTGGTTTTGTTAAACACAGGCTATGAGCATCTGGTATAATGGCTAGATAATAATAACCAAGATAGTGTTGCTACTTGTAAGTACGCACAAAAAAGCCCAGAAACCACATCCCAACCTCTACGGTCAATCTCAGAAAGACAAGTTCTGAGTAGGTGAATATGAAGTCACTTCACAAGATCGAATGTGCTAACAGACCCTGATTCTGAATTTTTGCTGAACACATGTTTAACCATAAGCTGATGGGCTAAACTCAAATAAAATTAACCACACCACATAGGTAGAAATGCTAAAGAAGGCAACTGTCGTGGTTTAACCCCAGCCAGCAACAAAGCGCCACACAGCCGCTCACTCACTGCCCCCCCCCCCGCCATTGGGACGTGAGAGAAAATTGGGAAAAGAAGTAAAACTCATGGGTTGAGATAAGAACAGTCTAATAGAACAGAAAAGAAGAGACTAATAATGTTAATGATAACACTAATAAAATGACAACAGTAATAATAAAAGGATTGGAATATACAAATGATGCACAACGCAATTGCTCACCACCTGCCAATCGATGCCTAGTTAGTCCCTGAGCGGTGATCCCCCTGCCCCCACTCCCCCCAGTTTATATACTGGGCATGACGTCCCATGGTATGGAATACACTGTTAGCCAGTTTGGGTCAGCTGTCCTGGCTGTGTCCTCTCCCAACTTCTTGTGCCCCTCCAGCTTTCTTGCTAGCTGGGCACGAGAAGCTGAGAAATCCTTGACTTTAGACTAAACACTACTTAGCAACAACTGAAAACATCGGTGTTATCAACATTCTTCTCATACTGAATCCAAAACATAATACTATACTAGCTACCAGAAAGAAAATTAACTCTATCCCAGCTGTAACCAGGACAGCAACAAAAGGAATTCTTCATTTTAGGGGTAACATGAGCAGCCAGACCAAAAAGATTAAATTCATGCTATAAAACCTTATCAATTCAGCACAAAATTGGGTTTAGACATTTAAACAAATAATCAAATAAGCTTGGTTCCAGCCCATAAAAGAAATATTTATCAAGGATTACTAATCTGTGGCTAAGCAAATTACTAAGCCATAGCTCATCGGAGACAAAGTATTCTGGAGTCTGTTTGCACATTCTGGGTTCTCATATATTTAAAAAGCAGCAACACTGCAAGATTGGTGTGAAGTGTTAGGTCTACATATACCTGTAACTGCAAGGGTAACAATACTGTTTTGGTATATGCTAGGGCCTAAGAAATGGGAAGCATGACTGGAGAACATTATGGTTCCTTCCAACATATGCAGTAGGGCTTCTTTCCAGTGGAAACCAAGGTATGAAAAAGGAGAAGACCCAGGCATGCCTGCCCCCACCAGTACCTCACCCTAACATAGAAGCGATGCTTATATGTGTTCTTTAGTGACATATCAATACATAGGAATGAGAAACCAGCCCAGCTGATTAGCTGAAGCATACTCAGGGTTTTCCCCTCCAAAACA